CTTCCATGGAAGAGCTGGGCACATACCCATCTAGGCTGCAGACCTTTGTCAGAAGTGGACCTTAATTCATTATATAAACAACACTTAATATTTTATTTCATGGGTATGAATGCTTTCCCTGCCTTTGTGTCTGTGCACCTCACACAGTGCCTGAGGAGGGCAGAAAGGGGCAATGGATCCCCTGAACTGCAGTTATAGCCATTTGTTAGACCCTGTGTAGATGTTGAGATCTGAATCCGGGTCCTCTGCGAGAGCAGCCAGTGCTGTTAACCACCGAGCCATCTCTTTCTCCGATTTTTTTTTAAAGATTTCTTTTTATTTATGTTTATACGAATGTGACTGTGAGAGTGTATAAAACACATGTGGACTTCTCCAAGAACATGCGACAGAGAAAAAACACGCAGGAGAACCTAAAGACCCCCTGAGCCCAGACATGCTTTCCACCCTTGACATCTGCCCCTCTGAATTTTGAGACCCAGAGGTGCTGCTAGCTACATTTTCATCAGCTCCCATGATGTGCCCAGATGCTGGCAAACCAGGGCTGAGCCATGCTTGCAGAAACTTGCTGGAGGCTGAATTAGAATCTTGGCTCCCTGTTCCCCATCCAGCCCCCATGCCTTGGTAAGACTATATTATTTTCTTAGCTCAAATTGCCATTTCCAACTCATTATTTCTCTATGACGAGAAAACAATATTGGCTCTTATGTAATAGCAACCTCAGTGAATCTGGAAGCGATCATGGAATGGGTGGATTTTTTCCCCTCCTTAAAAAGAGAGAGAGAGAGAAAAATAAATTTGAGATTGTTTGCATATGCCTGAGAATATTTATGAACTCTTCCCCTTTTTCCTCATTGCATATTTTACCCAGCACATTTGTGGGTAGTATGGAATAAATCTTCCTGGGGAGCAGAGAAAGAGAGGGGAGCAGAGCAATTAAAAGACTAGGTATGCATCAAATTCATGAGACATTAGTCATCGTGGGTCACTGAGTACTGTAGCCTGCCTGAGGTTAGTTACCCCAGCCAGTGTCTCTGAGGAAGTCTTTCAGTGGCAAGGTCTCTCTCTCTCTCTCTCTCTCTCTCTCTCTCTCTCTCTCTCTCTCTCTCTCTCACACACACACACACACACACACACACAGGAGTTACTATCCTCTGCCTGCCACCCTGCTCTTTCCTATCCACTATAACAGAGTAGAAAGTTCAGTGTGAGCAGTTTCATGACCCAAATGCCATCAATCAAAAGAGATCATTTAGTCCTGTGACTTCAGGACTGAGCCAGCAGGAAAGAGGGAGAAAGCTGGAAGAGGATGTCTAGGTGCTGCCATGGGTGATTTGTTAGCCTGGGTGTTTCAGCATGTGGGTATGGTGTGTCTGTTTCCCTCTGAGCATCCCTTTCTACACTGTTTGTCACCAACAAGGATTCCAGGGGGCATAGGGAACATAGTTATTATGGCTATGCATTAAATATTCAAGGGTGGTGCATGCCCGGAATCTTAGCATCAGGGAGGTAGAGGCAAGAGGGTTCAAAGCCATCTTTGACTAGTTATTGAGTATGAGGCCAGTATAAGCTTCATGATCAAGTCTCAAAAAACAATTTTAAAATTTTAAGTACCTGCTGGGCGTTGGTAGCACACTTCTTTAATCCTAGCACTCAGGATGCAGAGGCAGGAGGATCTCTGTGAGTTCCAGGCCAGCCTGGTCTACAGAGCTAGTTCCAGGACAGGCTTCAAAACAATACAGAGAAATTCTGTCTCAAAAAACCAGTGTGTGAGTGTGCGTGTGTGTGTGTGTGTGTGTGTGTGTGATCAAGGGAGAAAAAGAAAGCTCTACTTTGGGAACTCGACTTTAGAATTGAGGCCAGGCAGAATCTGGCATTCTCTGCTGTGTCTTGGGATATTTAAGAATAAATTGATCGGAGAGTGTGGGAGGATTCACAGGACAGGATGACTGCTGGTCTTAAGCCACACGGTGACAATGATAAACACAGACTGACCTCGTACAGTCCAGGAACTTTCCCTGCACTATCCCAATTGAGTGAGCCTAAAGGGAGCCATGTGTGACCTGGGAATCTTCATTGTCATTGCCAAGATTAGGAAAATGTCATACAATGACATTGAGGTGCTAACCTCTAGCCACAGAGAGATACCAAGACCAGGTGCCCAAAGCTAATACAATAAGCTTAAACAAGGAGGTGGAAGAAGTCACGCCCTAGATCCTGGAGAGGGTCCTTCAGTTAAAAGACCCTGAAGCTGTAACTTCAACAGCCGTCTATTCAAGGTAAAATCCAAATCCTAATCAAGGGTAGCTGCAGTTCCCGTGGCTTCTTTCTGGCTTATCCATCTCATGTCTCTACCACAATTAACACCAACTCCAACTTCAATGCCTCTGACCAAGAACATACAGTTGTAGGGTAAGTGACTGACAAGCAGTGAGCATGCTCAGAATGTATATACCATTCATTATGTTGTAATAATGATGTAGAGGACATGTACACCTGCCATTAAACTTTACCATTTCCATTTAAAGAGCTCATTAGTTGGACAAATTAGTAGATGAATAGTTGGAATCTATTCCAAGCTAGTCTTCCAAGGTCTCCATCGTTGCATCATACCTCATTGCCAAAAGTCATTGTGGTTGGTCTGCAAGGTCTCTAAGAGGCATTTGGAGTTAGGACTTGGAATGTTTCCTTTCCCTTTGCATATGCCTTCATTTCCCTTCGTTGACACAAATTGAATAAAATTTAATAAGTATACCATGTGTCATGGTCATTCTTAAATGTCAACTTGCCACCACCTAGAATTGCCTGGGAAGAGAGTTTCTATTGAGGATTTATTTAGATCCAGTTGACCAGGAATTATATTGATTATTCATTAATATGAAGGGATCTAGGCTATTGGGAGTTGCGCCATTCCCTGGGCATGGATGGTTGGGAGGTTACCTAATACAGGACAGGGAAAGCTGGATAAGAGAGCAAGCATGCAAGAAGGTAGCTTGGGTATGCTTGTTTCTCTCTGCTCTTGGCTGTGGATGAGGGAATGACTAGCTGTTTTAGTGTGACTTTCCCACAAAGATGACCAGTAATTCAGTAGCATGTGCCGAATAAACCCTTTCCTGCCTGACAGTGCCTTGTATCGGGATATTTTAGCCGGACAACAGAAATGAAACTAGAATATTGTGTTCTTTCCTTTTCCCACTGTGACTGGGTTTTTGGCCCACTCTGTCACTAAAGGGAGTTGAAGGATTTGAGTAAGCAAACAAACCCAGCATGAAATGCAATCGCTTTGGGGAGGAAAACATAATAAGTATTGTCTAGTGCCCACCCTCTGCCTTAGCGCATGAATAGTCTGGTAATCCCATCACAGTCTAGACAATCACTGAAGGGAATTCTAGCATTTTTTCCCAGCCCTTCTCGCTCTATTCTCTCAAACTGGAAACACAAAGCAGATGATGAAGACGAGTTCAAATGTCACACCAGGGAGAAGGACGTATTGAGAAACTAACGGCCAGCCTCTAGCTGGTTTCCAAGCATTCCAGGAAGTGTTCAGCAGCATTGTCCCAGACTGGTGCCCTCCCATTGTCTCAAACAAAGGGCCTCCTATGAAAAGACAAAAGTGGGTTATGTGGGAGTGGCTAATTAATAGAAGGCACATCTGGAAAGCCACGACAAGGAGGAAAAACCCCACAGTTTCTCCTCTGGATGGCGATGTCCCCCTTGGATCTGTGGCCATGTGGATCAGCTGTGACTGCTGGGATCTCGGGAGCATCTGTCAAACAGAGCCTTGGGGGAGGGGGGCTGAGGAGGGCTGGTGTCACAGGTAGGGTGGTTAATGACCAACCAGCCACCTATTCTGCAACGACCCTGTCTATTTAAGGTGCAAAGTTTCCACGCTATCTTTCTATGATGAAAATGTTCTATGCCCCTGTGTGTCTAAATGGATTAGTGGCCAATTAATCAGGATAGGAATAGAAATGCCTCTGCCACCTCGTCTCCCTTTAGGTGTTCTTCCTTTCAGCTGCATCCCTGGCAGGTGACACTCTCTATGCAAGTGGAACTGAGTGCACACTGTTGATGGCCATTCCTGTCTGGTGCATTGGTCTGGCCATTTGGGACAGCTTTGAGCTGCTCTAGACGACCCTCCAGTGCGCCTCTGCAAGTCTCCTCTCATTCCTATGTCCTGTCCCTCAAGGCCCCCTCCCCTTCTCCAGCTAGGTTAGTCAAAGAGAATGATACCACAAAAACTGGTCCTATCTAAGGACTACTTCTTGTCATTTTTAACTACTAAATCAGCCCTTTTTGCAAAACATGTGTGTGTGTGTGTGTGTGTGTGTGTGTGTGTGTGTGTGTTTGTGTGTGTGTGTTGTCAATCATTGGCAAAATAAAAATAGGTAAAACAAGAAAATGGACGTTGTCTTATGTTGGGGCTGCTGGAGATAAGCTCTAGATATGCTGCCATGCTCTCTAGCTGCTGGAATTCCTTATTAAATAGGAGGCACAGCTTAATCAAAGTAAAAGAAATGTAATCAAATTAAAAGGAGTAGCTGGTGTTTTGATCAAATTAAAGAAATAGCTAGTGTTTACTAGTTGGCTAGTTTTTCAGATTTACTTAATTTCTGTGAGTGTGTGTGTGTGTGTGTGTGTGTGTGTGTGTGTGTGTGTGTGTACGTGAGCACACACACAAGTGGCCACAGAGGTCAGAGGAGGGTGTTAGATTCCCTAGAGCTGGTTATAGGTAGCCATGCGTTACCTGGCAGGTACACCGAGAAACAAATTCCAGTCTTGGTAGAGCAGTGACTGCTGGGCCATCTCTCTGGCCCTAGGGTTCACCCTTTTAGACTATTAGTACACTTGGTTAGAAACATGCCCATAGCTACTAGGGATTAGTATGTGTTGAAATGGTGAGCAATGGTGGGATGTGGCTCAGCACACCCCGTCTTCTCCGAAGCCCTGTGACTGTATTTGGCAAGAAGACAACTGACCATTGTTTTGTTCTTCCGTGACAGCCCTTGAGAGGGGCTTGACAAAGGCACTAAAGAAGCTGAATGACTACCTGAACACCCCTCTGCCAGAGGAAATTGATGCCAACACCCGTGGGGATGAGAAAGGTTCCCAGCGCAAGTTCCTGGACGGGGATGAGCTGACCCTGGCCGACTGCAATCTGCTCCCCAAGCTGCATGTGGTCAAGGTAAGAGAGGTCTGTGTATGGGTGGTACCTTCATCTCAGGCCCAGCCAACTGGGTGGATGAATCAAGGCTGGTAACTCCTGGGAGCCAAGACGATCGACCCCGGGCTCTGAAGTCAGATCTGTTAGAGACCAAAATCAGCCTTCACAGCTTGCTGGATGACCCGACTTTCTGAGATTTAATTTTCTTAAATTAAAAAAAAATGTATATGTCTGTGTGTTTTACCTGAATGTATTTATGTACATAGAGTGTGCCTGGTGCCCATGGAAGCCAGAAGTGAGCATCACATACTCTGGAATGGAGTTAGAGATAGTTGTGAGCTGTCATGTGGTGTTGGGAATTGAACTTGGGTCCTCTGGAAGAATAACCAGTGCTCTTAGCCTCTGGGCCATCTCTCTAGCCCTTGAGCTTTCATTTCTAAAATAGTCATATGTTGTTTATCTCTAGGGATATTGTGGACTTAGCAAGGTATGGAATTGCTTATTACACTACAGGGGCTCAATGTGTAATAAGGGCAGTGCATCACAGCCCCGTCTCAGAATTACCCCCGCCGTGCTTTCCTACCTGCATAGATGGTTCCCCAGGGCTCATCAGAGGTCTCCATACACACACTCTAGAAGCTCCCTCGGGTACCCACCTGCCATTTTTCCTCCCCATTGGCTGAAGCAGTAGAGGCTGCAAAGGAGTGGAGCAGAGATTGCCTCTTCCTCTCAACGCGCCTGCTGCCCGTCCGCACCACGTACCGGCAGTCCTTCCCTACACAAAAGTCACATTCTGAAAGCAGTGACAGGAAATTTTAGGGGTTGTCTCAAACAACCACAGCCTTCTTGCAGTGTGGGGGCCCATTTCTGAGCGATGAGGAGCCCCCCCCATCTTACTGTTCCACGTAGCTCTGATTATTAAAGCACCTTTTCTTCTACCGAGTTCACCCGTTCTCCAGAGCGACACCGGACAGCTCCATTCCTCTTTGAATGCCATCGGAAGATAGTGTTTGCATCCTTCCGAGCTCTCTATGCCGACACCTCTCTTCCTCTCTCCCTTCCCTGCCTCTTGCCCCTCCTGTGTGTGTGCTTGCACACGTGTGTGCATGTGCATGCATCTCAGTCTGTGCACATGGAGGCTACACATTAACACTGGGTGTCTTCTTCAATTCCTCTCCACCTTATTCTTTCAAGACAGCGTCTCTCGCTGAACTCAGGGCACACCGATTTGGTTAGACTAGTTGGCCAATGAGCTCTGGGGACCCTCCTGTCTCTGTCTCCCAGTACTGGAATTCCAAGTGTTCACCTTCGCACCTGTTTTTGTGTGTGGTTCACACTAGGAATCTACACTCAGGTTCTCATGCTTGCAAAGTAAGTTCTTTATCTCCTCAGCTCACCCTGACCCCCATCCTTTTTGATGCTCACTGTCTAGGCTCTAGACATGTTCTAGACCCAAGAGCAATATGCAATATGGTCCTATGACCAAACAGTACCTGCTTTTTCTATGGCCATGTCTTGCCATCTCATTCTGTGAGACCAGAGCCTTTTCCAAATGTGGTGGCCCTTTAATAAATATGATCAGCTCCTGTGTGCTTTTTAGGATAGCCATATTATGTCTGTCTCTCACTGAGGAGAAGGCTAGTCTATTGTTCATCAGCAGGGTCTATCAGCTGAAGTACTGAGCTAGATACATAGACTCTCCTCCGATCAGCATGCACACCAGCTTGTGGTGAAGTCACTTAGCTGGCCATCCATGTTTGAGTATCCCACAGGCCTGGGTTAGGGCTAAAACTGGGGAGGGAATTACATGCTTCTAGGGCAGGCCAATACAACACTTGAATATGAAGACTTTTTAGGCTCAGGGCCAAGCTAAAGATCTCTTGTAGGACCAGCCAAGTATGTTACTTTGAAGTTATTAATTATCACACACCCCACCCACCAAAGTGTACTTTCTTCTCCTTTCCCTGAGGAATAAGCAGAACCATTATGTATATGCAATGCCCATTCAGTCACACCATGCCTTAGTGATATAATGGAAAGATCAGAAGACCCAAGTCTAATTCATCGTCTGCCACCAACTAGCAAGGAGGACCGGAGCAAGTCATTTGATCTTTTCAGATTCCATTTTTCTCAGGCCTAAAAGAAGAGGTGTGGATCAAATTCCCTTGCTTCCTTTCCCTTCCTCCTTTCTCTCCTCTCTACTTTAACATGTAGGGGCAACTCACTTACGTGTCCTTTGTCAAAGTAGGCAAACACAAGGCACTCAGGCTTCTCCACCATCCTCTGAATGCCTCAACTCCATCCAGCGCTAAAGGACCATGCTAATCCCCTGTCCTTGGAGACAGTTCACTCGTTTCTATCTCAGGGAAGTTGGGGATCAGAAGGGAGATGGCCTAGGAGGCAACAAAGGCTGGGCCTGGACTCCTGTCTCCTTGGATTTCTGCTGATCCCGCTTATCTGATCCAGGGACCTGGCAAACCTCCGCAGTGCAGAGAACACGAAGGGGAGCCAAGGCAATTTGGCCTCGGATGCCAAAATTTAATGTGGGCTGTGGGAGCTAACTGTTTTCATATGAAACAGCCAATTCAGACCATGAGCAAGGAAGTTCCTCTGGATGTCTGTGCACCCTCGCCTTCCTGTCCCGTCTGTCCCCAGTTTCAGGATGCTGAGTGGCTGTGGCCCACACTCACTGAGAACCTGGTCTGAACTTCCATGGGGTGTGATTTTCCTGGCTCAGCACAGAGATTGTGTTCTCTGTAGGGCAACTTGGAAGAGAGATACACATGTAAATGCAAGCATGGATTCTTCAATTGCATGTCTGCCATTTTCAAGCTAATGAGGATCACCCAGGATACCTTTTCCAGTTTGCTTTTCTGTTGCTTGGATAAAACAGTTACCAAGAGCAGCCTGGGGGTTTATTTGGCTTACACTTTCACTTCAGAGCCCACCATAAATATGCGTCAGAGCAGCAACCTAGAGGCAAACACAGAAGCAGAGACTAAGGAAGAACCCTGCTCACTGCCTTGCCCCCTTGGTTTACTCAGTTACCGCTCTTACGTAGTCCTGCTTAGAGATGGTACCACCCACAGTGGGCGGGGCACTCTTACGTCTATGGACAATCCAGAAAGTGGCCCCACAGACGTGCAACCCGATGAAGTTCCTTCTCCTGGACGCCTCTAGTTTGTGTAAAGTTGACAAAAACTAATCAGTATGGCTCTTGTTGACCACCGGGCTTGAAAGCCAGCACCACAAACAAATAAAACCCCAAATTAAATTGCTAACGCTACCAAAAATATGGCTTTATCAAGCAGTATCAAACATCCCCTGGCCCCAATTTCTTTGAGATCAGCTGGCATAGAGTCTACATAAATGCTCCAGTTTGTTCTCTGATTAGAGATCACTCTGCCTCAGTCTCGTATTTGCATTACCAGTTCATGCCTTCCGGTCAAACCATGCACAGCAGCTCTCAGCAGCGTTATCTGCTTTACTTTGTGCCATTTTTAGCCTACCTGGCTAATTCCATCTAGTTCCCCTGCTCAGAAAATCATCACCGTTCAGATTTGCTCCAAGCCAAGAAAATATCTTCTCAAAGACCCCTGGTCGAACCAGAAGGCCCTCCTCGCCTTGTAGTGACTGGAGGGTGCTCTGGGACAGCCGGTGGTTAATGTTGACCTATGGCCTTTGTTTACTGGTCACACTCAAGCAGGACAGTGGCTTCTTTGGGGTTCGCTGCTGGGAAAGGAAAACTTCCTATCAAGAAGTCCTGCATCTTGAAGAACAGATGTACGTGGAGGTTGCCATGCTCGGAGGCAGGTGCTTTCTCAGGGACCACTCCAAAGTTGGGGAAATGTGTTAACCTGGAGCCCTCCAGATGTGGGTCCTGCAGAGATTAAACCTGGACGTTTGAGGAGAGAGAGATGGTTGGCTGTGGCTGAGGTCCTGTCAAGCCCTGCTCTTTCTGAGCTGGCACAATGTGTAGGGGCAAATAACAAACAGGACTCTGTGGCCACCACAGAGAAAAACAGCAGACCCGCTGGAAGGGGTGTGTGCCTCCCGCCCTGGCTTCCAGCCTTGCTGGGATACAGGGTTTCTTCAGAGCCTGTAGACTTCCATGGTGAGGACAAGTAGGGTGTTCACAACCCCAACATTACAACAACAAAGCAAACTGGGGGACAAATTTAGAGGTAAGCACTGGTTACGAAGACCGGACAGATTCTATGGAGGTAGGGAGGGTGTCACAACTTACTACACAGGAACATGGGGCCACATAGGGCATCATCCACAAAGCCTGAGCCCTAAGACTAGAATCAGTGAAATGCATCTGCTCTTTCTCAAAGGGAAGAGGCAGATGGAGAATGCAATAATTTTGAGGGTGCCTCGATGAATATTAGAGGAGAGTGGACGTAAAGACAGAGAAGCCGTGAGATGCTAACTTTTTGAGTCTGAGTGAGACTGAGGACCTAACCCTGGACAGGCATGCATAGGGGCGGTTTCCCTTTCCAACACAGACAATGAAATGTTCAAGTGTTGTAGCAGGCAATACTCTTCTGTCCGAACTGGTACAGAGAAGCAGGACAAAAGCACAGGGAGTTTGAACCCGAGGATGCCGTTCTCTGAGTGCAGCAGTAGGCGGTCATAGATTAACAACTGGTACTTAGGGCCTGGATCTGAGTTGACTTACTTCTCCATCATTTGCATAGGCTGCATGGAGAGGAGAGTTATGGGGAGAGCAGGAACCGAAACAAGCATCCCTGATTTCTCAGTGGACAAGCACCCTCACCATGGTCCCTATAACCCGCAGTGGTTTTCACCCTTCCTAGCGCTGAGACCCTTTAACAAAGTCCCTCACCGTGTGGTGACCCCCAACCAGCTACGTCAGTCACGCATCACAGTGTAAATATCTGTGTTGTCAGGTGGTTTTCGGTGACGCCCATGAAAGGGTCCCTTGCCCCACAAAAGGGTCATGACCCACAGGTTGAGAAACCCTGTGACATGTCATGAGTCTTTCAATGTTCTCTGTCTTCAGTTTGCTCATTGATAAATAATTTTTAAAGTGAAAGGATTTGGAAGACAAAGGATGTGACTTAATGCAGAGGGTTTGCCTAGCATGCATGAGGGCCTTGGGGTCAATCCTCTGCAACACACACACACACACACACACACACACACACACACACAATAGTTTCATCACATACAACTCGATGCACCTTGTCTGTTGTTGAGATAACTGAAGATATCAAAGATTAAATTCAGCTGTTTACCCACAGCTTACTTACTAAATGACTGTCCCTCTCCTTTCTTGTCTGAACAATAGGAATATGGCCCTTGCAGTGTGCATTAGAGATATGAGTAGCTTGCATTCATTTCTGAGTAGCTTAACACAGCACCCAGATGAGAGCGGGTTCATGAGCCAGTGTTGTAAACTATCACTGTTCCAATCTATATGGTAATTAGGATTACAGAATGGTCTAGAAATTAAAACATGGTCTCTCCATGTCCTACTGCTGCTTACAAGCTGGAAAAGGATGTTGTCATCATATTTGTGACTTGGGACAGAACATATCTTATTGTTGCACTCGGAACTGGAGTGAGAGCCTGGAAGGGATGTGTGCTCCCCCAGTGTAGAAGGGTCCTAGGAATGAGTAGGCCATCACTGTCCTCTCCTTGACATAATTTCCTGGGGACCCCACATCATCCATATGGGAAGGAAGGAGAAACCCTCACACAAAAGAGCTGGGGGGGGTTGGTCTCGGAGTCAGAGGATGTCAGGTCCCATGGTTTCACTCTCCACCCCCTAGAGAAAATGAAGGAGGTCAGAAGCAGAACCCTTGGAGAGATACTACTCTCTGCTACCCCTGCCCGACCCTGAGGGCCACAGGCAACACTAACAATGGGCACATTCTGATGAAGAGTTAACAAGGGGCCCCTTGTTAAAAGTATACGAAGACTTTGCTGATATTAGCACAGCAATAAACCAAGAGCAAGGCCCTTCTGTGTACCAGGCCAGTCCTGGGAGAACTCATAGGTCCCATGGCCAGAAAGTTGTCCTGACTACACAGACCTCATTGAGAAAGTGGCCCCACCCACCTCCATGTATAAGGAAGTGAATGCGTGAAAATGAGCACAAGCCGTGTCCCAGTGGATCGATCCTAGGAGACAATGGTTATTGAATGTCGACCGTATGCCAGGCTTGCCCCTAAGCATTTTATCAAGGCCCACTCACCCATTTCTGCAAGGTAAGTCTGATTATCACCTCCATGTCAGAGAAAAACAAATAAGGGCGCAGAGTGGTGTCACGAATTCGTCCTTGGCCACCGCTGTCAGATGGAGTCGGGATCACGAGTGCAGTCAGCTGAGACCCAGAATCAGCCCTCTAACCCTGACACTGTTTCCATCAACACTTCAACGCTTCTCCTGTCTATATCTCATAAGTGTGGCAACACAGGAAAAGGTTAGAGAACACGCTGGCCCACTTCCACAGCAGATCTGGAACTTACATACATATATTCCAATGCCCAGCTCACTTTTCTGGGTCGCCCCCACACACCACACAAAGATAAGGGTGCTTATTTAAAGCAAAGCAGAAGAGGGACCAAACATGAAGAAAACTTGAACCAAGCAAGGTAATCCTTATACTTGGGAGATGGAGGCAGGAATTCAAAGTTGCATAGGAAGTTTGAGGTTGGCTTGGACAATGTGAACGTGGATACTCTATTGGTAATATGCTTGTGGATGTCATACATATTTCTCCAAATACGTTATACTATACACTATGTCTGTCTCAAAAGTTTTTCCATATCACTTGGAGTTTCCCTCACAGCATATTTTTTTCACTTTCATATGTGTGTGTGTGTGTGTGTGTGTGTGTGATGTGTGTATATGTATGTTTGCATGCCTGTAGGCATGAATATGCACAGGTGCCTATAAACATGTGTGTGCCTGCATGTGGAGGCCTGAGGTTGATGTCAGGAGTCATCCTCGATTTCTCTTCCACTTGACTCATTAAGGCAGGCTCTCTCAATCAAACCCAGAGCTTGCTGATCTGGCTAGTCTTTCTTGCCAGCTTCTCTGGACCACATTGCATGCAGATGTACCTGATATACACAATCTCCCGTGAAATCAGGGCTCTGAAACCTGTGTCCTGCCTTCACACCACCTCTGTCTTGTCATCGTTGTTTAGATTGTGGCGAAGAAGTACCGAAACTATGACCTTCCGGCTGAGATGACAGGCTTGTGGCGGTACCTCAAGAATGCCTATGCCCGGGATGAGTTCACCAACACCTGTGCAGCTGACAGCGAGATCGAGCTGGCCTACGCAGATGTAGCAAGACGCCTCAGTCGATCCTGAGCTTAGCTGTCTGGCCCAATTCTTCCGCAGAGGATTCTTCATCTCCCAAAGGCCTTCAACTCCACAGACTCATCTTCCTCGTTGCCTTGAGGAAAGATTTAAAAGAAAGAAAAATTAGGCCACATCTTGCTGGCACCCCTGAACTCAACTCCAGCCTGCTCCCTTCTAAGATCAGTGCCATCCTTCTGTCATGTCCCACAGGAGCCTGGCAAGGGGAAAGGACACAGCAGCAGATCTGCCTGCCTGCTGGCCTGATCTAGGCTCAGTGTATCTGGAGTCAGTGTGGAGAGCTTCCCAGGGATTGTCACCGGTCCCTTCTGCCAATATCATAATGCTTTTCCAGATGCTTTATCAGCTTCAATGCCAGATTCTCTTCTACTTCCATCTTCCCAGTAACTGCGAGGCCACAGATGAATACGATCTTAGGGAGTGATCCGTGCTTTGATTGGGTGATAGCGCTGGGGGAGGGACTCGGGTGGGTGTGGCTTTAGGGATCCAGCAGAGCAGTTTCAGCTGCTCACTATTTCTGACAGGGGGCCATACTCTAATGTCCCCTTGGACCCACCCCAGTTTTCTGCAGTGCTGGGACCTGGTGCAACCTGAGTATGTCCCGGCCAGCACTGATCCCAGCTTTCTGCCTGTCTCCATTTTGCCACAAAGGTAATTGACCTGTAATTCTAAACTGAGGTGACCCAACTGGAGAGGGACTTCTGGGAAACAATGCTGATGCCAAAAGGCCCAGCAGGGTCTACAGCCACATGGAGCTTACATGAGTGTGTGTGACTGTGTTCTTCCATGAGTGGCTCTGGGTTGGAGTAAGAGATGGGAGGAGGGGTGGGAGGAGATAAAGCTATGAGTTTGATGCAGCCTAGTAAACCTTTAGAGCAATCTTTTCTCTCGTTATTAAATCTTGGCCTGGTGTTAGGGCACGCCTACCAACCAAAAAACCAGACTACAACATCAACCAAAAACATCTTCCAGGCCCTCTCTCTAGTCACCTGGACGTGGATTGCCACCGGACTGTGCTCAGGTTCCCAGTATCCAACCCCAGCCTCTGATGGAAGAGAAATTCTATTAGGGAATGGTGTGATGAAGGGCTACCTTAGGAAGGAAGCCCATGGGTCTTTCTCATTGGGAAGCCACGAATTTGGAAAATATGCACTGTCCTAGGTTGATTTTTCCACCATCTGACTTTTAAGAAAAAAAGCAACTTTTTTTTTAAGCTAATAGTTCTCTCCTTAGTCATTCTCCTTGCATTTTACCTACAAAGCTCATGAGACCTGAATGTGGCAACCTGGGCTGACCAGGCGCTATGACAAATGAGCTAATCATTAGCTCTTCCTCGACCCATGAGCTAGTGAGCGCTTGGGAGAAATCCATCCATTGGGCCTCATCTCCAACAATCCTGCCTTCTGTGTGGCTGCCAGGGGAGGGCGAGGCTCCTGAGGGCCGGAAAGCCCCTGGACTTGGCTCATTGCTCTGGAGGGCGAGGCAGCACGGGTCCTTTCCATAGAAACATCAACATGTGCTAACAGCCACTGGACCTACCTGCCTCTAGGGATCGCCAAAGCAAAGTGTGGCCATTGATCCGAAGAGGGAGGAAGCGGGAGGTCTCCCTAGCCCATTGGGGAAGAGAGGACTCTGCCTGCTAGGACGTTTTATAAACCTGAAAGGGCTTTGCAGACACAAAATGAGTCGATTCATTTCCACCCTACGGGAACCTTTCCACAGGCTCTCAGCAAGCTTCCCCTGGGGATGTTTAAAAGTGTAGCACTGCTGAGGGAACAGCCCTTTTACTGCAGGGAAGAGCCCCAATGGGCCTCCTGAGGGCGGGAGGAGCGGGGGGGGGGGGAGCTTTTCGAACCAACCATCCTGAAGGCTGTTTAATTAATAGGAAACCACGCTGTTCTCAGGAATCCTTCCCAGAATTCACAAGCAAGCTGGGTTAATTAACCCCAGACAGCCCCAGGTTCTGCAGGTGGACTGATAGTGAAAATCAGTATACATATAGAAGGGTCCCAGATGGAGGGGAGAATACTCAGAACCCTCGTGTGACAGTCTGAACCCAGAAATCAACAAGTCTTTAAAAGTAAACCGAGTCAACACTGTTTCTACAAGGTCCTACTGATTCACAAAAATAACAACAATATTTAGGCAATGTGGGGTATTACAGGACAAGTCATAACCTCTTTAAATAGAGGTGAGATTATAGAATGGAGTCTCTTACGAGCACTTGAACTCAGAAATAATGTTATCAGGCAGTCATAATGAGACCGACCAGTGCCTCAGGACATAATTGTCATGGTGTATAAAAACAGAAATGAAGCAAATGATGATTAACCCCTTCCCCCACCCCTAGAGGAGATTTTCCTCCTGAGGCTCCAACTTCTTTGGGCTTTGACCTTAACCTTGTCAAGTGTGCCATTCACCATCGGCAGCCTGGGGTGAGGTTCCAAGTCCCAGCTCAGACCGTGTGCAAGCGTTTGCAGTGTGGACACTACCCGCAGAGCTCAGATCGGAGCTGTTCTGAACATGCCAGTCCTGCAGGAAGCATTTGGGTGACAGAGAAAGGGAAGCCACTTGATGCAGCTAATTCTTTTGTATTTATTTCTCACCTTGGATCGTCACATGGCGATCTTGTGTGTGTTAAGAAGTAAGTGGAAGTTGAGACAGGCAGACAGACAAGTCAGATTCAGAATTCCTGAGTTGACTGTATCTACCTACTTAAAGCTGCCTAGGTCTTAGGTTGACCCAGAGAGAAGTCATTTGTTAAGCTATCGGTAACTATGCACACTAAGGTAGAAAATGAATTTTTGGTTGTTTCAAAACATTTCATAGTCCCCTGGAAAAGAAAAATTGCGGCTAAATTCGGAGTCACAGGCGTGTGTATATCTCACCATTAAATGGGGGGGGGGGTCTAGATAGGCTCCTGGCAGCAAGCAGATCAATTGCAAAGTAGGAAACAGTCAGAAAATCCTAATCTAGTTCCAGCTTCCTGGTAGATGGCACTGTCCCTGGTGTTCCCTTCTGGTGCTGGTGGGACCAGATAGGATCGTGATTTTTTTCATCAAAAAGAAGCTGCTTCAAGAGTGAGGTTTGGGCCATGTTTCTGGTACCTCCTGGTTCTTGTGAGGTGAGGCAACTGTAGTGAAGACAGCGCCTGTGCCTTGAGGGGGGCATGCTGCAGAGAGAGGACCCTAAGCATTTTAGGACCATCCTGGAATGGAGCATGCCTGGCACAGACAGAGGTTGACTAAGAGTGTCAGGAACCTGCAAGACCCAGGCCAATTGTATTACAAAGGAAGCCAAGACAGGAGCTGGGTGTCCATCTAGTAAGAGTTCACCATCACTGAAAGAGTTTGCATCTATAATCAAATCATTCTAGAAGCAATAGGTGTCTGGAAGGTGCTTCTAGGGTTCCCCTCCATGGTCCATAAGTTAGCTCAGCTGCAAAATGAATCAGAAAACTAATGTGACCCTGCTTGGAAACATGGTGGTTGAAATCAAGTCCAATGATTCTCATTGGTTATATTTTGAGAGTATGCATTTGTATCATAAGTAATCATATATATTATACATATATATGACATCAAGAAAGATCTTTAGTTATTGTGAAGGAAAGTAGTGTGTCTATGAAGCACCAGATTCTGCTGTTGGGAGAACGTTCGGGATCTTGTCATTGGCTGTGGGGCCCTTCTACAGGCAGGTCAGTGATCTTGTAACCACTGTTTTCTACCACTCAGACTAACAGCTTGCATGGAGTTCTAAGTGCATTCTCTTGCCCCTTTACAATAATCCCTTCTCAGCCTACTTTCAAAACACTTTCATCTTGTTAGTAAGTATGAATCAAACTGCACAACCCTATTTAATGTTGAAGGAAATAGATCTGTTCTCCACTACCCCCATATACACTACCAAAAATAAACAAAGCATTATCCCCACATAGGGTTTGAGTTAAACTGTATTTTCTATAAAAATCAATCTGGTGTTTGGCAAAGCAGTTTTGAAGATGTAGTATTTTTGTATACAGCTAAAGATGTCCCAGCATTGACCAAGGATATATTTTAGAAAATATCAGACTAAGATCTGTCTTGGATGGTAGAGTGTTTACTTCACGCATGTGAAGCCTTGGGTCATACCTCCAGCACTACATAAATCAGGCTTGGTAGTGAACACTTGCAATCTCAGCTCTGGGGAGGTAGAGGCAGGAGGATCAAAAGTTCAAAGTCAGCTACATAGCAAGTTGGAGACCAACCTGTTATATGAGACCCTGTCTCAAAACAACAGAATAAAACCATGCAAAATATTCAGCTGCTGTTTAAATTGTCCTCTGCACCCCACCCCCAGTCACCTTGTTTTCCCATTTTATAAACTGAGAAATTAACTAACTTAACAATTGTAATGAATCATACTTAGATGCTCCAATCATACTTAGATACTCCAAATGATGGTAACTCACTTTTCTTGAGACCCTTAACTGTGGTGAAAACAGGACTTGCTTTCAAGCCTTACTAAATGTAACATGCCTTTGAATAGACACCAAGTCAAATGCATTCTTTATATCTTGAGCCAGCTGTAAATGTATTTCCCAGTCTTGCTTGGTATTGACTGATTCAAATAAAGTTGGTTTATTTTCAAATATTACAAAAAGAGATCACTGGACTTCTTTGGGGGGAGGGATTAGGCTGTTTTAAATGACCGCATAAAAACCCCTCCTTTTTCAAATAAAGGTTGTTTAATTTTACATGAAAAGTGGTCACTGTTTTAAAACTCAAAACCAAAAAATGAAAAGGTGGAATTTGGTATGGCTCTGTGGTAGAGCCTTATAGTGCAGAATGCCAAGTATTTGATCCCCATGATAGACAGAAAGGAAAAGGGGAGGGGGTGGGGAAAGAGGGAGGAAGAAAGAAGGATGGAATAAAGGAAAAGAGAAATGGAGGAGGAAGAATGAAGGAAGGGAAGGAAATGGGAAGAGAAAAGCAGGGAATCCAAAAGCTTGTGCGCAGTGTTCCTGCTCCATCTTTTAAAGTACACAGGCTATAAGTTCTTTGACAGCACATGGGTGAGATAAAACATTACACCGTTACCAGCCACGCTTCCCATTCCCTCTGCATCGTCATAACCAGAAGTAGACCAGCAAGTTACAATCTAGTGTGAGTTAAAATATTAACCTATTTGTGCCCAAAGCTCCCTCCTGCTTCTCATGAGTCCCATCCCATCCCCAGCATCACATCACTGACTAAGAGCCGAGGTTTCCAGGGTCTCTGAAGCCACCTATGAGCTAAGGCCTTGGCCATCTTATAGGGAATCTGTACAGTGAGAACAACCTTTGAGAATCTTAGAAGTGTTAC